AAACAAACTCTCTCCAGTGACCCAAGCACCACCACCTACCTGTGATTTACACAGGAAAGCCCAAAGAGATGGTTTTCCTTTTCATGGCCCATACCCTGGCCCACTCTTTCACCAGTATGGCACCTTTTAGAGGACACCAGTACTACTGGCTTTGATAAATACCCGTGAGCTTTTACCTTATTCTTGCAGAGAACTCTAGCCTAATGGCACCAATAAATAAAGATTCAACCAGAATATGGCTATCAGATTCAATTTCCCCAAAAGTCACATTTATTATGCCATTCCCTTTTGAGAATTTCCAGCATTTTCCTCTCAGCTGTCATCACAGAGCTAGTCACAATGTGCCCAGTGGTCATGACAGAGTCCCCTAATTCTTCTAGTAGGAATCTCCATGCTAGAAATGTGTGTGGGGCCCTGCTATCAGCAGCTTTACACACATTAATTTATTTAAATCTCCCAAAAACACTATGAGGAACATAACATTATTGTTCCCATTTTGTAGATGAAAAAATTGAGGCACAAGAAGTTGAGAAACTTGCCCAGGATCAGTCTATACAAAGCCAGGATTTGTACTCAGGTAATCTGGCTCCAAAGTTCAGCTTTAGAGTGAAATAGCAAAATAGTGAAAAAAATCACTGTTTTTCACTGACACATACTTTTGTCTTATTCCTGTCTACACTGATCTGCCACTGCTCTAAAATCTTGCAGAATGTCTTCACTAAAATAGACAACTGAGTATTTAATAAAATGAAATATCAGGTAGAAATATAAATGCAAATATTTGTTTATATAATAGCTACAGATCAGGAAACAGATGCCCAGAAAAAGCATGTTACTTCCTAAAAATTCACCAAAATTTCACCTGAAGCCAGGTGTCCTAATTCAGACCTCCATCTACCACATGGTTTTTACCATCTCCCATGGTAAAGTGGAGGAAAGTGTGTTTACCTTTCTTCTTACTTGTAGAAACAATCTTCACAATTATAACACAGTGGTATTTTATCCTTAATGCAAACTAAAATTAAAGAAGATCCAACTACCGTTTTTTCCACTATAATTCATTCTCCATGTTCAATTTTTCTGCAGTAATGAACGAGTCCTCTAATCTTTTAAAGTCAGAACTAGTAAGAATGTCTTCTGCTAGTTTACTGCATCTCATTCTCCATTTTGATAAATCCTATCTTGTCTGATAGATTTCTAAACTTGTCAGTAAGAGATTCAGGCAAGTCCCCTTTTGACTGCTAAGATACAGGCTGAGAAATTAAATGACCTGCTAGAGATTAAATGAGCTGGAAAGCAGGATTTGTCCACTATTTCTCATATAACCAGCATGCCTATCTTAGTATCTATAGAGCCTAGGCTCTGGAGAACCAATGTATGTGTCTGCACCACCAGGGCTTAGCATCGCATCTGGGCACACAGTAGATGCTCAATAAGCATCTGTTGAATAAAAATAGAATGTTTTCCAAGAGTAGAAGCCATTTCTGCATCTCAAGTTGTAGCGTTGGTTGCAGTACCCTAATGCAAAACCACACCTGAGTGTGTTCAACACTGAACTGTTTCTACATTATATTTAAGGCAGCTTTTATTGAGTTTTATATGAAGGAAGGAATATATTGAAATGCAAAGTTCTTGTTTCCAGAAGTTCTGGAAAATATGAGCACGTGTATATAGACCTTATTTACCTTATCCCTTGAAGTCAAAAGATATTTTCATCACTAAATGATGCTGGTCCCATGGTTATTATTTTGCAGTTACCAGGGTGTACCTACCATTATTACGCAATTAAAAGAAAATAAAGGTATTTCGGTAGTTGATCATTGATAATGTAGCCTTAATGGCTCATTTTACAGCCCCCCGCTACAGGCTTTTAACATTTCATAAACATGGTTTAAAATGGCAAATTAGCTTTGGGGATAAAATTATATAATACAACACTTTGTCAGAAGAAAGAATTTCTGATATGATAGTTCCTATTAAAAAAAAGAGCCACTGAAGAAATAATACATTAATTAGATGAGTAAAAATAATCATTTGGATGAGAATGCACAAGCCAATCTACTTGTAACAAATGCATTCAGCTTCCGTAATCAGGACAGAGCTTTAAAATACGTACTGTATACAAAGCACCTGAAAACTATTTATAAATTCTTCCTAATTCCTCACCAAAGGCTTATCTTCACTCATCATTCTATTTTCTTGAGGCTCTTCAACTGTTTTCCAAGAATACTAGATACTCTCAGGGAAAAAAATCGAATAAAAGATGTCAGCATGCTCATCTGTTCTTAGGAAAATCCTTTTTGTCTCAATCTGAGAACACTGATTACATCTATTTTCAAGGAGATCTAATTAAATTCTGGAATTAAATACCTGAAAATTAATTCTTCCAGCACTTACCTAACATGCTTTTGTCTTGAGATGATATATATATTTTTTTCCCTTAGTGAGTAAAATCTTTTCAGCAAAATAGGTAAAACCTTCCTAAGGAAATGCCATTCGTGGTGTAGAAGGGCCCAGGTAGGTCGCCAATGGAAATGAACCACGTCTGCTAGTTTGTAAGGAAAATGGTACTTCTTATACTGCAGAAAAGATTTGTGTAATGGATTGAGGGTCAAGTTGAGCCTTTAAACCTACAAATAAAGACAACAGATTCCTCAAAGATTTTTAAAAAGGGAATCACCATGGACGCTGATTTGTATACAATGATACCCATTGCAGGTTTAATTACAATGAAAACGTGGTACAAACTAAATGTTCATTATTCAAAGAAGGGAGAAAAAAATTACACCATACCCACATCTTAGAATACTATGAAGCCATCAATAATGATATTTTCAAAGGATATGTCATGAAGGAAAAATATAAGTAGAAAAAAGTATTTGTGATTTTTCATTATTTTGTTATATTCTCTATTTTCCAAATTTTAAAAAAAGTACTTAAAAAAATTAATGTCCTCTGGTCCTCAGAAAACTAAAAATAAATAAATAAATAAGTGGAAGTAATTACATATGCAGGAGTCTATGAGGTATAATTGATTTCTCAGTAAGGCAAATTTCTTCAAATGCCCTAAAGTATCCCCCATATAAATCAGATATAAGATAAAGGACAAATGCTGAGGTATGAGCTAGTCAGAGCATAGGAGGCACCTGAAAATATTCTAATATTTACAAGTCTTAATTAATGCTTGTTTTACATCAGGATTCTACTATATTTTCAAGAACTAACAGCTTGGCACAGTCATTAATATCAAAATTAAAAACTTACAACTAAATATGTCTTCTAAAGTTTCATCTATAAGATCCAGTTCAACTGATGCTTATTAAATACCTTCTCACAGAAGTTTTCTGAGTTCACATTATCAGCCTATAGTTACATCATGGATGAATGAGGCTCAGTGTTTTTAAATATTTTGCTTGAGATTACATAGAAAAGCAAAGCAATGAATCAAATCTAGAGCTTAAAGTTTCAAATCCAAGACTTTTTCCAATATTCAACAGCGATTTCTCCTCATCTTCCTTCTCTTCTTTCCTTTTGCTTCTCTGTTTAGCCAAATTCTATCAAATCTTCAAATCTTGCCTCCTTCACAAAGCTTTCTTTGTGCCCAACTCACAGTGGTGGTTCTGTGAATGTCTAAGTCTCCTCAAATTGACATGGTTTTAAAGCTCTTGAGGGCTCCCTCTCAAGGAAGCCTCCCTCAAGAGGTTTATTTTCCCTCTCTCTTTTCTCCAGCTTTTACTCCCTGCAAAGCTGGCAGTACAGTGGGGAAGAGCCTGTGCAATTTTGAAAGCATGAATGTGTAGAGCAAAGCCCACCAATAGTAGGAGGCTCATTTGGCAAAAAAAAAAAAAAAAAAAAGTGAGGAGGGAGGCAGGCATGGAGAGCTTACCAAATGCAGAATGGGACCTTGGTGTGGGGAAATTCTCTGAACAAGAAGTGGCCAGAGTTTGAGAAATTAACCCTTTCGAAAAGCACATGTCCTGAAGTGCTACTACTGCAACAGAGACCATTCAGAAAGCATCCACTGATCATCAGTCTCTGGTGGAGAAGCCACGCTGACCTTATGAACAGTTTCTGGACCAAAAAATAGTTAAGAGTATAATAATAACACTAACTGAGCTTTCATTATGTTCAGACATTTATTCATGGGTTCATATGCATTCTTTCTTTCAATTCTGACATCAGGTGATTTTACAATTGAGAGAAATGTCTTCCAAAGGTTGAGAAAACTTACCCAAGGACACAGCTAGTAAGTGCTAGAGCTTATTCAGACTCAGATCTATGTGCCTTCTTAAGTGCCCATAAGCCTGTATATTTTACTGCAGAGGTTGCTGACTGAAAAATAATCATTTACTGTATATGGTCTGAGGTGCTTCTACCTCCAGGAGTTTGTTCAACCAATTTCATGTGCACCCAAATTCAGATACTTCCATACCCTCTCCAGTACTTATTGTTTGTGTACTTCTTACTGATGGGTATTCCGACTGGTATGAAGTTTTCTGCAGCCATTATGGAAAACAGTATGGAGAGTCCTTAAAAGACTAAAACTAGTCTTCCTCTATGATCCAGCAATCCCCTTCCTGGGCATATATCTGGAGGAAGCTCTAATTCAAAAAGATATATGCACCCTAATGTTCATAGCAGCACTATTTACAATAGCCAAGACATGGAAGCAACCTAAATGTCCATCGACAGATAACTGAGTAAAGAAGTTGTGATTGTATATCTATCTATCTATCTATCTATCTATCTATCTATCTATCTATCTATCTATCTATATATATATACACACACACACACACACATATATATATGAATACTACTCAGCCATAAAAAATAAAATAACATCATTTGCAGCAACATGGATGGACCCAGAGATGCTCATTCTAAGTGAAGTAAGCCCAAAAGAGAAAGAAAAATACCATATGATACCAATCATATGTGAAATCTTAAAAAAAAAAAAGACAAAAATGAACTTATTTACAGAAAAAAAGACAGACTCACAGACATAGAAAACAAACTTGTGGTTACCAGGGGGGAAAGTGGGTGGGAAGGGATAAACTGGAAGTTTGGGATTTGCAGATAATAACTACTCTATATAAAACATAAACAACAGGTTTCTACTGTATAGCACAGGGCACTATATTCAGTATCTTGTAGTAACCTATAATGAAGAAGAATATGAAAAGGAATATATGTATGTATATGTATGCCTGGGACACTATGCTGTACACCAGAAATTGACACGTTGTACACTGACTAGACTTCAATAAAAAATAAATAAATAAAAACAAATCAGATACCTCATTCTCAAACACAAGGTAGGGGGTAAAATGACAGCTCTCTTGCCAAGCCATTGGCTGAGTAAGGAGCTAAAATGTAATGTTCCTGAGCACTGTAGTAATGAGATAAAGGTTCATAAGTAGGGGTTAGCTGCTATCCCCCATTCTGGGAGTTGATGCTAGCATTGACAGTAATTTTTAGAAAAGTATTTCATTTTTCCTTGAAGTGTACTTGGTATTTTTCACTAAGATCCACAAAGATTGGATGTCAGGACATCCACTACAGCAAATGCAGCCCTCTCTGCTCATCTGGATGTGATCTGGAAGCTTCTGTCATTTCCCCCATGGGCCATGGCTGTTTGACAAAGCAGAATTTGGCCCATGGGCTATGATCTATTGGCAGCTCCCCAGGGATACAGTCTCTGTATTTAACATTGGATGCCCTCCTTCCTGGAGAGAAGGATGGGGTGGCTATCTAAAAAATAAAGGTGTGGGAAAGAAAGATACAGCAGGAACATTATGAATACGTCAGGGATCTGGGCACAGATGACATTTCACAAAGCCTTCTGAGGGGATTTGGATTCTGGTCAGACATTTAAAGCAGCTTCTCAACACACTTTATTTTGAAAACAGATTCAAATAGGATGGAAATATTCACATGTAACCCAAAAAGTGTCTGATGGAAAAAATGTTCCAAATGTTCACACTGGCAGAGGTCTTCCAAGAACCAAGAAAAATCTGGGACTGAGTTAATGTGTTAGATGATATAAAATTAGTTAGCAAGATCAATAAGTGTTTATTGTATTTCTACCATGCTTTGCCATCTGCTAAACCTGCCTTGACAAAGAGCATGAGGCTACAGATCCAAACATGGAGGTATGTTGGACAGAGCTGGGACTGAACTTTGGAAAGGACATGCTTAGCGAAAGAATGTTGCAGAGGCTGGTTTAGTCCTGGAGATGACACTAGCGTGGCATTTTCCAAACTGTGTTCTGCAGCGTAGTGTCCACATGAGATCCTTGGACCAAATTAATGTCCTATGTTTATATAAACTTAGGAAATACTATACATTATGCCCCACTCCCTACAGATTCACAATGCATATTAAAAGTTTATTAAGGGCTATGAAAATTCTATAATTAAGAAAACTACTTAATTTTTGCTCTAATTCAATATTTACCATTTGATCATGGGTCTCTTTTTCATATACTACTATTACGCTCACTAGTGGTAGTAGTAATAAAAATGAATAACATTAATTGAGCACTTATATGTTAGACATATTGTTTAGAAGTAAAATAGATGTATTAACTCATTTATTTCTCAGGTCAGCCTAAAATGTAGTAGGCATTGCCATTATTATCATTTATACAGATGAGGAAATTGAGGCACACAGTAATTTACCCAAGATCACATAGCCACTAAGTGTTAGAGCCTAGCTTAACTTCTACATGGTCCCATACTCTGCCCAGTCACTTCACCACCAAGCCAAAGGTACTCAGACAATGTCAACAAATAAAATTCAGGCAGGTCAGCTGTGACATACTACTAATGGCTAAATTTGTAAATCAGTGGTGAAATTTGTAAAGCAATAAAGATTTAAAGCCATTTTTTCAACCATCCCAAAAGCTGAGTAATTGAGATGATTTTTGAACACCATTTGTATGTAACTTTCCAAATTTAGCAGTTACTACAACACCAAATTACTTTATGGGGATAACATGCAGCATCTTCCTTTGAATCATCCCACCTGGTCTGTGATTTACTTATCAAGAATAAAGCTCTTCGGTTTGCTAGTGTTTGCAAATCATTTCCAGTTCTTTCTTTTTAATGTTTTTACTTTCATGACTTCTCTACTGATCTGGAAGTTACATATGATTGCTGTTGTTAGCCTTTTTTATTAATAGATATTAATATTTAAAAGATAACTGATATTAATTTTCTAGATTTCTATCTCTTCATTTATTCATATTTTATTAGAGTTTGATGCTTAAAATTAGTCAAAGTCAGAGGAAATCTCATAATAATTATTGTTTACATAACAAATTTTATTTCTAATAAAAATAATTGGGCCTAATTAGTTTAAGTTGATTTATTAAAGAAATTGTAGGCCTTTACCATTTAAAAGTCACATTTTATAAAGTTTAAATTTTTTGATTATTAAATTAAATTTAACATAATAGTCCAATAACCAGAAAATCAGTTTTATGAAGCTATAAAACATCCCCATTTCTCTGGAGAACTTCATACTTAAGTGGATTTAATTTTTGCTTGACATTTATTTTCTCACCAAAATGGAAAGTTTCTGATTAAAGCTGAAGTCACCAGATTTATAAGACAAATAATTCACCACAAAAGAAGCTGACATGAATAATTAGGCAAAATGAAGATTTTCACAAGTTTCTATTTGTAGGCCCTGATACTCCTTTTCTTCAACATTTAAGGCTCATTTAAATGGAAAGTTATGAAACAAATTGCCACAAACTGCACTGGTACCTAAGTCACAAAACAGGAAGATACTGAAACTTTGAGCATGTCGAACAACAATTTTCTGTACAGTTTTCTATAAAGCTTTTCATTTTTTTTACAGTAGTATTAGGTAGAGCTCAAGAAACTAGTTATAAGAGCACATCATTATCACTAAATCTAAAGTACTTTTAAATGTTGGTTTCAAAAAGAGACTTGCTTTAAAAAATTGACAATAGAGCTACCATATTATCCAGCAATCTCACTTCTGGGTACATATCCAAAGAAAATGAAAATAGTCCTCAAAGAGATATCTTTACTCCCACATTCATTGAAGCATTATTTACAATAGCTGAAATATGGAAACAGTCTGAGCATTTTTCAACAGACAACTGGATAAAAAAGACACAGTTTATATATACAATGGAGTAGTATTTGATCGTAAAAAAGAAGAAAATTCTGCCATTTGTGACAACATGGGTGAAACTCGAGGACATTATGCTAAGTGAAATAGGCCAGACAGAGGAAGGCAAATACTGTATGATCTCACTTTTATTTGGAATCTAAAAATGTCACTCATAGAACCAGATGGGGTTGCCAGGGGCTGAGGGCTGGTGGGGGTGAGAAAACAGGAAGATGCTGGTCAAAGGGTACAAAGTTTCAGTTACAAGATAAATAAATTCTGGGGGAAATAAAAAAGGAAACTATGTGAGGTGGTAAAGGTATTGATTAACTTTGACTGTGGTTTGATGGTGATAATAATTTCACAATATATATGTATACCAAACTATAATATATACTGTTAAAAGATCACATTGTAAGATCTAAATATATGTAATTTTTATTAGTTAGTTGTAAAGCTAGGAGAAAACAGTGACTTACTTCTTCCATGTTTCTGAGCACTGGAATGAACTTAGCCAAATATTGCAAAAATCATGTAAAATTATATTATTTACTGACAAAACTTATGGATTCAAAACAACTCAACATTGAAAAAGTGAGGTGGAAATGGCTCATTAGTAATGTTTAATAAGCATTTTACTGGAATCCTGAAGGAGGATTATTAACACTAGTAGAACAATACTTATGTGTTTTTGAAGAAAATCTTCATCATTATTTTAACTGAAGTATAGTCAGTTACAATGTGTCAGTTTCTGGTGTACAGTGTAATGTCTGAGTCACGCATATACATACATATATTCATTTTCATACTCTTTTTCATTAAAGGTTATTACAAGATATTGAATACATTTCCCTGTGCAATACAGAAGAAATTTGCTTTTTTATCTGTTTTATATATATAGTGGCTCATCATTATTTTAAAATACTTGATGGAAAAAACTGATAAAAATCCATATGCATGTAGAATCACAAGCATTTTCAACATCACATTTTTACTTGAAAGAAAAGGATGAATCAAAATCATTGGAACTAGAGAATTAACAACTCCCTTGATGTATAATTTAAAGAAACTAAATTTTAGTCAATGGCAAGAAAAGAGTTGTAGTTAAATGGAAAAAAAAAAAAGCAATACCTACAATCCTGATAGCTGATACCATTTACCTGTGATGACAAAGAACTGAAGGAGATCATCATTTAATTGTCTTCCTCAAAAATCACTCACAGCTATTTCAAACACAAATACCTGAAATAAAACATTATCTTCTTGGAAGGAAACATTAAAAATACTTAATACATTTTATGTGGATGTTTATACAAATTCAGTATTTAATATTCTACTTAAAACTTTGTACTTTATGTTTCTTATAACCTGAAACAACGTATTTTTTTAATAAGCTCCAACTGGATATCCCTAAATGTCATGAAAAAATTGGAATGTCACATACAATGCTATGTTCTATCAACATCATACACAAAAATAAAGAAATGTACTATTGGAAACTCTGGTCTACTCATTCTGATCTACCCAGGATAGTAGCATCATCACCTGGGTTCCCAGAATCCCTTAGTGTGGATAACAACCAACCTATTAATATCAATACTCTGTTTCTTCTATGCTTAACCTGGTAGGTGTATGTGGCCCTAATGAAAATTTCAGGCAGTTCAATGTTCTCTCAAACTGTATCAGAGAGTATAAGCAAACTTCTCAACACAGAGTGGCTTGTATGAGTGGGGTGGGATGGGAAAGGAGGATGTACCCGAACTTCATCTCATCGCAGGATGTTTTCCATCCCTAACCCTAAAGTATTCATGCCTTTTTTTGCTGGAAAGCTGGATAATCTTGGGTTATCAGAATCAGTAAATCAATCAGGCACGTGGGATTTTTAGAGTCCAGTT